TGTTGTAGCAGTCAATCTAGGTGCTGGAGGGAAGGCTCAGGGCTGAGGCTCTTCCTGGAATGGGCTTTGGGAGCTGGTGCGAGGAGCATGGTGGGTCCAAGACTTCTGATGCTGGAGGGAGGGCCAGGGAGACTGAAGCGCACTCCGAGTATTGGTGAACACCCTCCAGAGTCCCTCACAGCTCCAGCAAGTGGAGGCAACCTCTTCTGATCTCCACTGAAGCCCTAGTACCCCGAGAGCATCTCACACAAAGCCAGAGTGGGGCCACGGTCATACCAAGATGGCTCTTCTCTGACCTGTTGGGGATATTGTCCTAGCTAGGCCAGGGCCTGGGACTCAACAAAAACAAGTTCCCTTCTGGGCCAAGGTTGGGCCTGCCACAGTTCTACCCAGGAAAAAGGACCTTACCAGCTCAGTACAAGCCTCTGGAGGAAGTGGGAAGCTTCTGACTCAGAATAGCCCTGTGCACCTCTGGGAAGGCTTGTGGCCCAGCTATGAAGTCAAGGGCTGAACCATCCCAGGCCCCATGTTCCTCAGAGTGAGTGTAGTATTGACCTTGTTAGGCCAATAGGATTCAGGTAATGAGGTATCCAGGCAAATTGTGCAGGCTCACTCAGCCTTACCCTCATCCCTCAGTGTCCAAAGAAGGGCGGGCACTAGATAGAGTGTGTAGGAGGAGGCAGGATTGATGTAGGCTGAGTCTGAGGATGAACACAGAGGGTCAGCCTTTCAGGGTGGCTTCTGGCTTCTGGCCAAAGATGAGGCCCTGAGAAGGGGCAGTGCTGGAGGAATGGAGACTGAGCCCGCCATTCTGAGTGGATGACTGTACCAAGGGACAAAGGAGATAATCCTAGAAACTCCCGCTCAGATATTGTTGGAGTCCCATGGTCATCTTTCTCCAGGACCCGTCATGTTAGACAAGTCCAGACATGGACCCAGGGTCCTTGAACTGTACCCAAGATGTGGGGCCTTCACACTGCCACACTGCTGATGGGCCCCAGAATGAGCAGAGACAGAACTACACCAGACCAATGGTAGGGATGTGAATCCTTTATTGGAGTGAGGCCAGGTACTCCCAGCTTGGCTGTTGGGTGCTCCCCCAGTGGTGGGGTGGGGTGGGGCAGGGCGGTTAGGACTCCGACTCAAACATCTTCTTCCGGCCCTCCATGCCAGACTTCTCCTCAATATTCTTCCTCCAGTCACCCACATCACGCAGGTCCCGCTCCTGAGAGGGTAGGACCAGAGAGCCCTCAGACCCACCCCAGTCTTCTCCAGACCACCCCGGGCCTCAGTTCACTATCTCTGAATGGGACAGTGAGTGAACTCCCCTGGAAGTGGCCTACCTTCTCGGTGTCCTCCTTCTTGACCTGCTTCAGGTTGGCCCTCAGGTCCATGCACACCTTGTGCTTAGAGCCCAGCAAGGCCTTCAGCATGGCATCAGCCGACATACGCACCCTCCGAAGTGGGGGCCTCTTGAACTTGCCCCTCAGGTCAAATAGCTTCTGGTTCATGTCTTCCAGCTGAGAGGAGGGAGCAGGAGGTTTAGGGACCTGGCAGCCCCCATGTCCCTGACCTTGGCCTTACTTTCACACCAACTGGTTTCATCCCACATCAGTTGGCCTCACCGCCATACCGTTTTGGCTTCACCCCTTGTCACCGAAGCTGTCCCTCCTGCCCCTCTCATGACCCCTGATGTCACTGACTCCACCCCATGCCGTCTGTCCCACCCCCATGCCACTGGCGCCTTCCTCTTACCTCCTTGCTGCTCTTCTGTACCTTCACCTCCATGTCATATTTCTCCTCCTCAGCCACGTCGATCTTAGCATGCAGTTGTTTGCAGAGTTCCTGGGTGGGCAAGCAGCCAGTGGGTGGCCACCCTGATGCTTGAGGACCACAGTCCCCTCCCAGGCCTGTCCCACCAGGCCTGACCTGCTGAGGAATAGGGGTAGCAGGGCCGTGGGTGGTATGTGGCAGGAAGGGACTACCTGCACTTCAGACATGGAGCCTGGGATATGCAGAGGCGGGCAGTGCTCTGACAGGTAGTTTTGCTTCTCAGATTCGCGGCGGCTTTCCTCTTTCTCCAGCTCCGTGGCCGCAATCTGGAGCATCACACTCTGAGAAGCGGAATGGTGGGAGTGAGGGTCTGCAGTAACTCCCACCCCCGCCCCTGTACCCCCAGCCCTCTACACCTGCCCATCCCTACCTTCAGGTGCTGTCTCCGGGCCGTGATGGCCCTGTTGCGCTTCTGCAGAATGGGACAGAGAGGGCAGAGTCAGGCCTTGCCTAGAGCTCTGGCCTCCTTAGAGCCATCTACCCAGGCTCCCAAGGAGGCCACAGGGCCACTGCCCAGGGCCCCGTTTTTCCCAGTCCAGAGCCTGCTTCAGGAACACATGCTTGTGGTGCTGACACTTTGCTTAGGTGGCACACAGGGTTGAAGGGGGTGATGGGGTTTGGGAGTGGGGAGGGGGTGTGGCCAGGGCTCAGAGGCTATGGGCAAGGGGGAGGCCTGGGAGGTGAGTGGTGAGCAGAAATCAGAAAGGAGAAGTGATTCCCTTGTGATTAGGCTCAAATCTCACTTCCCTCTCACTAGGCACCAGGCAGGCACTTCCTCTCTCTCTGGGGTAGCTCAGGGGGCGGGGCACTTGGGGACGTTGACAGGTGTGTCTTCTGACTTAGTCTCAGGAAACCATTATAGCCTTGAATGATACTCACCTCCTCACTGTCCCAGGAGGAAGAGGGAGGTGGGAGGGGGAGAGAAAAGAGAAGTTAGGCCGTGGCTCATGGGAGTAGCCATGGAAGTTTCTGGTAGATGGGGTTGAAGGGGTGGGGTGGTAGCCACTGAGGGCAGGGAGTTATGGGACCCGAGCCCTGGTGAGGGGACTGCAGTGGTGGTGGTGGTGGGGAATCACACTGGGTGCCACTTACTCCCCCATCCTGAGGTCTCGAGCTCTGAGCCTGTGGGGAGAGAGAGGTGGAGATGTCAGTGTTCGTCTTGCATGAGGCCAGGCATGGAGACCTGTGCTCACTAGTCCACTTCTGCCCTACCCCAACTCAGAGCTTCTCAGAGGGCAAGGATTTAGAGGACACCCCTCCCCTACCCCCCACCCTGAGGGTGAGAAGTAAGAGGAGAAAGTGTTCCCAAAATGTCCCAGGCGGGGCCTGAGGAGCTGCAGCTGTCCCCGAGGGAGGGGTGGGGCTGGCCAGCACAGGTGGCTGCCAGAGCTAGCCTGTTATTTTTAACTCTTGCTGCGTTGGCTGGAGAAGCAAATACATGGGAGAAAGAGCTCTTCTGTGTGGCCTGGGGGCTCAGGTCCCCACTTGCTTGACCTGAACATCCTCTTGCTCGTGTGTCCCCAGAGCCTGTTATCAGAGGCCTGTTGAAGACCCCCTGCCCCATCCTGCCAGCACCTGTTGCTTTTCAATCCCAGATCTGCGGGAGCCCCCAGAGAGAGAGCTGTTGGCAGAAGACCCCAGACCCCCGAGTCCCTGCCCAGGGAAGTCCTCCTGTGAGCTAGCCTGAGTAGTGCCCTATTCTCCAGCCTCAGGAAGATGGACCAGGCCTCTCACCTAGAGTCTGTGCAGCAGGGCTGGGAGCGAGGTCAGGCAGGCGGCAGTGAGCTGGGCTGGTGGGCCAGGGGGAGGGGTATAAATGGCTTTCCCTGGGCCGGGCCCCTGCTCAGAAAGGGCATGGAGTCTCCTCAGACCAATGGGGGCACAGAGAGGAGGAGAGCTTCCCCACCTGCCCAGCCTCCTGGCCAGTCAGCCCAAGTGCTGGCCTGTCCAAGAAGTCTTGGGGTGGGGGGGTTGGTTTACTCTATTTATGTCTCAGTGACGAGTTCAAGATGCCACCCTTGTTCCTGCAAGAGCCCTCAGGACAACAGGAGTTGAGTTGCATGTGGGTCTCCAAGGTACCCAGCTCAAGCATCCACTAAAGTCTTCATCCAAGGGAAACCTGACCTCGCAAGTGGGCTGAACTGGAGTCACTGTCAGATGGCCTTGTAGCTCAACACCCATCAGACTGAGCTACACTTGGCCACTCACTGCCTGCTGGGTGCTCTCTCCCTACTTGGGCCCCTGGGATGACTGCTCACCACATCAGTCCTCTTGAAAAACTGGACACCCCCCCACCCCACAAAAACAAACAAAACAAAACAACAAAAGAAGTCTCCCTGGCCCTGTGTGGTAGTCAGGGCTCAGGAGAGTGATGCCCACCTCTTGTAGTGAACTTGCCCTTCTGCCTAGGGAAAAGAGCAAATGGGCCCCTGGACCAGCAGCTGGGCCTCTCCCAGCCTGCCACACGCCCTGCCCATGGGTGTCTCTCTGCACAGGCAACTTGGAACATGTCCTTCAATCCCAGAGAGTGGTGCCACCGCCCCAGGAACCTCTCTCTGACCCGTGGGGGCTCAGGGCCCTTAGCTGCCTAGGCAGGCCCTGCATTGCCTGGCTCGCTGGGGCCAGGCCCTCACCCCTTTCCCTCTTCTGAACCCCACCCAGAGACACCGAGATCATGGCTTGGCCCCATCCCTGCTGCTCTGGGGCCCCAGAGGATCAGAGGAGGGTTGGAGCTGCTAAAGCCCGCCAGATGTGCTGGGATTAAGAGGTATATCACAGGCTAGGACTGCAAGCCCCCAAAGGCCTCAGAGCAGCTTCGAAAGGCACATACTGCCCCCTGCTGATAGTACAGAGGACACTCTATCCCACCATCGCTCATGGTGTTGGGGTCTCTTCCCCACACTGTCCCTACCCACAATTCACCCCAGTTGCCCACTTTGTCCCCACAGGGCCAGCTCTAGTCCCCTGATCCTCTGCCAACCCTGGATGGCAGAGAGGATGGTGCCATCTTCCTAGGGAAGACCTCATAATCAGGCCTTCAGCAGAGGCTCAGGACTGGCAGATCTGTTCAGAGCACGCTACCCCATCCTTGAGAGGACGGTGGTGCCAAGATGTAGCCCACCTTGTGTCTATGGTCCTCGTCACAGGGTTCTATCAGAGCACATGAGTGGGAAAGAGAAGGCTTTTATTACAGAAAGCTTTGAAGAGCCTGGACAAATGCCACAGCTCCATTTGGGGAAACTGAAGCCTAGGGTTCTTTTAGGAGCGAGGCCTGGGCAGGGGCAGGCGAGGCTTCAGGGCCAGAGCTTGGTCCACTTCCCTGGGGGACTGCAGGTGGTGCCACTGGGCGATGGGCCGCCTGGCATGGGCCAACATATCTGCCCAGTGCTGTAGGGGTTGACCTGAAGCCCGGGGACCCAGCAACACTTTGCCCACAGGCTCAGCCCGGAGCTGCGGTCCATGAGCCCAGACAGCCAGCACCAGGTCCACACTCTGCAGACATGGAAGGGAAAAGGTTTTCAGTTTGGCCTAGCACAATGTCCAGGCCACCCTGCCCTTCCTTTCTGCTCCCCACCTGGAGCTGGCCAAATGGAACCAGGAAGGTGAAGGCCTCGTTGAAGTAGGGGGTAGCTGTGCCTTTCTTACAGGATGTTTTTCTCTTCTTCCATTTTCTCTGGTTTGACATGAGCTGGACCTTCACATAGGGCCCTGCATGGACAAGAGAGTTCAGGAAGGGTGTCCCATACACGCACATGGGAAGGCTGAGCACAAAGGCCCAGCCCTCTGTCCACCCCAGGACAGCTCTTACCTGCAAGCCCTGGGTCCAAGCCCCGAGCCTCCAGCACGACCACAGTCAGGCGGCCTGAGCTGGGCACATAGCGCAGTGAGAAGCACAGCTCCCCCGTCTGCTCAGGCTATGGGCAACAAGACAGGGCTGCAGCTGGGAGGGTCATTTTTGCCCCTGGGGTTTGGGGCATAGCAGGTACAGCACCCAGACCTTGGCTACCCCCTCCCTATGGCACAGGCAGGGTCTGGGTCCCTGTCAGCCAGGCTCACCTCAGTGGTACCTGGAGCGCCCAGCTGGTACCAGCTCTCCAGGACATGCTGAGGGTCTACGGTACCCAGTGATAGTTGGAGCTCCCCCAGCGGCTCGTGTTCCGAGAACCGCTTGAAGTCCAACAGTTGCACCTTTAGGGTAGCCCCGGACAGCTCTGCTGGGGGGACCTGCAGGCAGGGCTGTGAGCTGAGTCCTGCTGCTCTGGCCCCAGCCCACTCTCCTTACCCAGGTTAGACTTACTAGGAAGCAGCATGTCTCTTCAAACAAGGGACAGAGAGTCCCACGGTGCACCTTGGTCTCGTGTCTTCTCCCAGGCTGGCTGGAAACACTGACGCGGGCGTAGGGGTCTGCTGTGCCCTCAGCTTTCAGGTTTTCAGCCTGCCTCAGGCCCACCCTAATCTGGGGGCCAGTGGGCTGGCTCAACCTGTGTGTGTGTGTCGCAGGGGGGTGGGGTGGGGGGATCCTCTTCCCATGTTCCCCTCCACCTGGCACTTCACCCATCACACTGTCCATCAACTACGGAGCCTCTGGACCAACCAAGTGGGGAGTGGGACTTACCTCCTGGCTTCCAAAGTCATACTCCAGTGACAGCAGCAGTCGCCCCCACTGTCGGGGACCCCCAGAGCAGGGCTCCAGGCAGTCCACATCTGGTTGAACCTGGGATGGATGGGAGGGTGTTCAGTATGGCTGAGACCAATCTCCAACCAGAGGCCTGAGCTCTCATAATAGAGGTCAAACCACCACCCGCCGGCCAGTTCACAAAATGGCTCACGTCCTCAGCACAGCTCTCTGAGACCAGCCATATCTGCCTTCAACATGACTCATATGGTACTACTACTGTAGCTTCCAGTGGCCCATGAACCAGCATCTGCCTGCTTCTTGAATTCCTCCTCCCCCATCCCTTCTGTTCATCTTCCTCTGCCAGGAAGGCCTGCCAGGGCTACCCTGAGCTTCCTGGTCTGGACCTTGCATTCCCCTCCCTGGAGTGAGCCAGGACAGGATGGGGCACAGGTTTCTGCTCCTCACCAGGTGAGTAGTGGTGCTGCTGTGAGCACTGCCCAGGCCCACAGCTTCTTTGTCTTTGGACTGCTTCCTCCTCCGGCGTTGGCAGCGGCGGCAACAGCAGCAGATGACGCAGAGCAGACAAGAGACCAGGAGGACTCCAGCAGCAAGAACGGTGATCAAGAGTGCCCAGTGGGGCCCTGGGCCAGGGGCACAGGCTGCTGAAATACCTCCCTAGACCATCGGGACCTAGACCGGACTGGTCCAGTCTACTAGACTGGACCAGGCCCACACCACTCTTGGGGTTCCAACCACTCACAGGGGATCCTGGTAACGAGGTCTGGAATGAGACTGGGCTGAGCAGTGGTGTGGACTGGAGCTGAGGCGCTGCGGGGGTCTGGGACATGCCCCATCTTCCTGCCCCTGTTGGCTTGGAGGAGATAACTGGGATCCAGGTCACTTGAGGGGTGGCCCTCTGACCTTTGTGTACTGCCTCTTCAACTGGCAGCAGCAAGTACTCAGTCCACCCTAGATTAGAAGGCAGCCCAGGTGGCCAGGGGCAAGGTTGCTAGTCAGGAAGCTAGGCAGAGAGAAGCTCTGGGCCTTGGCCAAAGCATTGACTTAGCTGCCACAAGCCCAGCCTCTTGCCACCTTCCCCAGGCCCCAACCCTAGCCAAGTAGGCCAGGCCTGGGCAGCCTGGTACCTGCTTTTGCTGGCCCTTGCCCACTGGAACCCTCCAACACACATTGCATGAAGGACTTTGCCCTTTTTTCATGGACTCAGAGGCCTTTTCTCATTTTCAGGGGTGTCTCATTTCACGAGGAGAACCCATCATAGCCCCCTGCATTCCGAAGAACCTACCATGTTCTTCTATAAGGTAGTCCAGTTTACTGTAGCCTCCGGGCCAAGAGCAGCTTGGGCCATGAGGTCATGTGGGAGGGAGCTGGGGGTACAGGGCATAGGGCCACCAGCAAGTGGGCATGCGCTCCAGCAAGCCTAGGCTGAAGGAGCTTTGCTGGCATAGGCACCAGGCCAGTAGTGCCTGGGGATGAGGGCGAGGCGGGGGCAGGCAGGGGCAAGGCATAGTTGGGAGAGCCTGAACATTCCTCCATGCTGAATCAATGCCGGCCTAAACTTGCCTACCTGCCGGCTTGGCTACCCTTGGCATGGGAGTGGGAAGGAGGAGGCCATGAAGCTGCCTTGGCCTCTGTACCCCACCTTCCTGGGGCCTGAGGAGGGTACACATCCGACAGCTTGACTTCTTCCACCATGAGCAGGAAGGGTGGGACCCCAGCTGGGGGCTGGGGGCCACTGTGACTCCCTGAACTCAGATCCCCCCAACCAGCTTCCCTAGATGGCAGCTGGTGGCCAGGACTTGGTTTCTAAAACTTGAGTCTACCCCACTGTGCTACAGGAGCCTGCCACCCTCCTACCGTATCTAAGCCCAGACTGCATACAGGTTACTAGGTCAGCCTACCCCTCCAGGAGTAACTAATTGTGGGGTCAGATCCTCTCTCTCCTGTACCCTCAGCCTGGAATCCCCAACATGATTCTAAGGGACACCCTGCAACATCAGTGCCTCACTGCCTGGTAGGCTGGAGAGAGGCAGCCACAGCTCAGAGAGCCCAGAAGCATCCACCCCTCAGTAATCGTGGGTGGCTGCAGATCAGGAGGAGACCAGGTTCTGCCTCCCAGGTCTCTCTTTAGGGATCCTGCACCCGTGGACCCATGAGCTTTCCAAGGATGGCCTGAGGTCAGAGCCCGAAGTTGACATGGCCCTGGAGCAGAGCTGCAAAGGGTTATTACAAGAAGTCATAATGACAATGGAGAGTGGGCTGGTAGGGATCTGAGAGGGCCGCAGTGTTAGGCTGAATGCCCTCCTCATCTCTTGAAAGTCCTCAGTATTAAGCACAGGTACCGTATTTTAATTCACCCCCAGGCCCCGTGAATCATACAGCTAGTCCCTAACTTGGTTTTAGACCCCAGTCTGTAATTTGGTGGAAGTGGAAGCTTGGTGAGTCCCCTGAAGAGGGAGGAGGTGATCTGAGGCCTCAATGGCCTCCCTGTCCACTCACTTCACTCTTGTCTAGCCTTTTGAAGGCTTCTGCTGGGCACAAGTCCTCAGGGGATGTCCGGAGTGCTTCCAGTGACACTTGGTGAGATAGGCTGGTGGGAGCTGGAGCTGGGGTGTTGTTCCTCAAGAGTCCCTAACAGAAGAGGGCTGAAGCTAGACTCAAACAAGTCTGGCTCCCCGAGTGAGCAAAGCCACATTGGCCATTTGGTAACGGTGGAGCCGGCACGGATGTTGGAATTCAAGTAACATTGAGACCTCTGTCTCTGTCTCTGTCTCTGTCTCTGTCTCTCTCTCTCTCTCTCTCTCTCTCTCTCTCTCTCTCTCTCTCTCTCTCTCTCTCTCTCTCTCTCTGCACATGTGAGTTCCTTTCTGTGCCCTTCTTGGCAGAAGTCCTCCCTCCCTTATGGTGAGAAGAAGTACCAGGGAGCACAGAGGCCCGTAAGCTGTAATTTCTCACTGCATGTACATCAGGAAGGCGTCCTGGATGTCCACAGGGGACTTCAGGCTGTCTGGAAGCTAGCTTTGGAGGGTGTTGGGGCCTCAGGAACACCAGCTCCTGGTACTAGAGAGATTTTCAAGGCCTGGAGAGAAGAAGGTCCCTTAGGACCCCCAGGTCTCCACGGTGGTAAAGGTGCAAGTAAAAATACAGCCACCAGGTGGAGCCGCTCTCCCCACTGGGCTCCACCGGTATACCAGGAGCTTTCAGCCTGCACATAATGGATTTCAGGGAAGGGGAGCCTGAGCAGGACAACAGAAAAGAGGCTCTATGATCCTCCAGCCCCAACCCAGGGACTTGGCTATCCCTGTTTGTATGGCCTGGGGCAGCACCCACCCGTGAGCAGCAGGCAGCCTTTCCTGCTGACTTCAGTAGTCTATCTACGGCGGTTGGGGAAGACTCTCTTAAGGAGCCAGTCCTGTTCGACCCAGGATAGGGAGCTGGGAGCCACTGCTACATCTCCAGGCTCCCTCCTAGTGGCTCTGTGCATTCAGCTCTGTAATCCCTTCCAGGCAGGGCGTCTGACTCACACCTGGGTCTGAGGCCTGCTTCCACTGCCCAGCCTCTCCCACTCTATTCACTGTTCAAGGCTTGCTTGGGCCCCACTTTCTCCAGGTATCCCTTCCAGGTCCCTCAAAACTACCCAGTCTTGGGCTAGATGCCACCCAGTGCCCCCTTTAAGACAGGAGTCATGCACAGTTGCCCTGGGCCTCTCCTCCAAATTCCCTGGCAGCCCAGGATTGAGTATTCATTACTTCTGGGTTAGACCTGCTATCCACCCTCACTCAGTCTAACCAGACCTTGTAATGTTTCACGGGGAGCAGGTTCTGTGTTCCCTTTCCCCAGAAAAGCAAGACCCCTGCCCCCAAGTACATACAACAGTGATCTCTTCCTCACCTGATGCCTACTGCTTCCTGTGGCTGGTGGGCTCTGGCCTTCTTGCTCAGACCCTAGCCACCGGGAGGCTGGTTGGTTCACTCTTAGGCAGCACCTGGAGCCCACGGCAGAGCCAGCACCTGTTGCTAGTGATCCAAAGAATCTTGGGGGGAGGAAGGGGTGTGGAGGCAGGACTTTGGGGAGCCCCACCTCATGGCCGGAACTGCTGGCCCTCAGAAGCCAGGAAACTCCTTTGAGAGAGAAGGCCTCCCCTTCTCTGCAGTCCTAGAGTTGGTGTCTGGACTCTGGGCTATCTCTAGGGGTTCCTCAAGGCTGGGGGTTACCCCACCCACTCCAGACTTAGCAAACGGGGGTGATAGGCCCACTGGGCTGACCTCTGTGCAGGCTCACACACCCAGAAGGCCTGAGTCACAACAGCTTGGTGGAAGAATGTGCCTTCCGGCAGTGCGGGTCTAGGGAACCAAGAACAAAGAAGGTGGAACCCTGTGGGGGAGCTGCCTGGTGCTATGCGGTGCTGTCCTGGGGCCGTGGGGGACTGGTTGACTTTGTTGCTACCCTCAGAGGACATTCTGACCCACTCCTTTGAGTTTTTAGCTTCCCAATGAGCGAGCCCTCATCGTGGTATCCGAGGTCCTTGCAGTAGTCTAACCTCAGGGTCTGTTCCATTAGTTTGAGTCCCACCAGAGTTGGCATCTGAGTTCCTCACTGTGCTCTGACCAGTTAGTCTGGTCCAGTCACTCCCCAGCCACTTATCTGTGGCTGCCAGTCAGACATCGGAATGGTTAATGGTTAACGCAACCTATCTCTCTCACTAGCCCCAAAGTCTCCAAATCTCTGGGCTGACCAGACAGGTCTTTTTGAGGAAACTCCAGCTGGAGAATGCTCTGGGACCACCCCATGTGGGGCACACGTATGCTGCTCACAAGTGGCTCTGGGTACGTGGGCACCGGCATGAGGTTGTGGGTTCATCCTCTGCTGTGACTCAAGTGATGGGACAGAGACTTGTAAGTAAGACCACAGGGGCCGGAGGTGTGCCTGCAGGGATACCGAGGCACCCTGGTAGTGAGCACCTGCATTTTGGGACCTACCAGGCCCCTGTAGAGCAGAGCTTCAGGCCCCACAAGTAGCTCCCACAACCCGGCTGTGTAGGGGCTTTGTGCCTTTCCAGAAGGAGGGCGCCTCCGTGGCGAGACGGCGTCTGAGGTTCTGAGGCAGGAAGGAGAAAACCAAACAGAGCTGGCAGCCCACGGCCAGGCCCGCGGCCCCCAGACAGCGGCTTGGCAGCCAGAAGCCCCGTGGAGACCCTGGCGGGGCTCCTGGACTCACATGCTTCCTTTGAGGATGCCTGGGGAATGTTTGAGGTCAGAACACACGGCAGACGCTGGCGGGAGAGCCCGGAGCCTCTGGCAAAGAAGCAGGAGACGTGCTGGGATGGGACACGTGCTCCCTGCCTGTACTGACCCCGCTAAAGGCCCTATTCTTCTGGGCACCCCTTTTACCTGGGGTCTGGGACAGCCAAAGATGGGTGCTCAACTTGTCTCAGACCTCTGTAAGTAGCTTGTATGCCCACTCGGGTTACCTTTTGCACCGAGGGACACATCTTAGGCAGAGCGTCCCTAACATTCCAGCATCAGAACAAGTCTGAGCCTCATTATCTAGACACTTTGGGGGAGCTGAACCCCAACTTCTAAACATCTGGGGAGCCTGTACCTTATTTCTTGAACACCCGGTAAGGCTGCATCCTATCTCTTGAGCACTGGAGAACACACACTGATCCACCACCGAGGCAGCCAAGGAGCACAGTCCCCATCTCTTAACCATCCAGGGAGGCTACACCCCATCATCCCAGAATCTAGAGAAATGACAGCATTATCGGGGTCTCTAGGGAAGGGCCTCCTGCCTGTGCTTTGGCATAGGCTGTGCACATCACTGCTACATCAGGACCTACTTGAACATGATGTTATGCTGTAGTTTGCTTGAACATGACACACTGAGTTTTGAGATTCTATCAGAGACTCCAGGGATGGGAACGTGAACCCTGATCTCCCCAGTGCCCAGGTGAGCCTTCCATGCCCTATACGTATGGGGACACAGGCCCTATCATGGTGGAACTCACTGAATGGCTGGCTGTATCTCCCAAAGCCTTCAGAGAACTGGAGTCCAGGGCCCCATCTATCATATAGCTTTATGAAGGCCTCATACAAATTGATTTGAGGTCTCTGTTTGTCCAAGGAAACTGTAGAATGGTGTCTTTAATCTACATTTGTGAATACCTGGGTTACATGCTCCAAATAACCAAGTGTCTGTGCAGCTGGGTGACCTGGTCCCTGTTCATTTGGGAACAGGAGCTCCATTCTGTGGTCATCAGGGTCTTGGACAGCCTGTACCCCATTTGTTGGGCCTACTGAATTGCCTATTGACACAAGGTACATAGGCCTGTATGTCAAGCTGGAGGCCTAGGGCCGGCGCCGCGTTCCTGTGGTTTTGGACACGCCGTTCCTGGGCATCACACTGCTGTGTGCGTCCCATTCACCCTTGTCTCAGCTCTCTGTGTGCCATTCATTGAGCTCTGGGCTGCCTGCCCACCCCCAGCCGCCCAGGTGTCTGCACCCTGTACCTGTGCCCCATGAGCTGAGCCTGTTCAAGAGCTGATCGCTGAGTTCTGATCTCTGTAGCCCAGGGGTCTGAGTGTACCCCATGATCTCTGTACCCCATGGGTCTGTACCTATACCCCATTAGCTAAACATGAAGACCACACAGCCCACTGTACTGTGGACCTGAGTTTCCCATTCACAATCTCTCTAGCATTTCCATCCCGGCCACCCCATGTCACCAGAGTGGCTTTTGTGAACAGTTGGCCTTTATGGCCTTTACCCGATTCCCTGCCTTGAAAGGTATAGAAGCAGCTTCTTTATGTTTTTGAGACAGGGTCTCATGTAGCCCAGGCTAGCCTGGAACTCACTATGTAGCTGACCTTCAAGATGACCTTGAAGTTCTGATCCCCCTGCCTCCACCTCCTGAATGCTGGGACTGCAGGCTACCAAGCCCAGCTCACAGTGCCGTGGGTCAACTGTACATGTGTACAGGCAGGCGCTTTGCCTGTTAGCTTCCTTCCCAGCCTTCCCTGGTAGATTCTAGGTCACCCTTTGTTGGAGTTCTTATGTGGGTACTCTGCTCGCCTGAGGACTAGGGTGATCAGACCCTAGAGAACTGATACCTCACTTGTCTGGGTGTCTGGGTATCTTTTACTTTCAACATCACAGTGGCTAGGTTCCAAAAGCCCCACTTAAAGAGATTCACTGTTCTGTATCCTTCTGTCTGAGGGTCTCCATGTCCCACCCCAGTCTTCTCTGCAGAGGTAAGGTACAGCTGGCACCCACCTCCAGGGGTCTGTGTGCTGTGTACAGGTTCTCAGAGATCTGAGGACCTCTTCTACCTCTCCACAATATATCTTGTCATCAATGACTGGGCACAGCCCTGTCCCTTCACCTCCATAGCTGGAGATATGGGGACGGGTGATGTCTCTTGGGCTAAACAGAGAGCGTATGCTCATGCTCATGTTCCCAGCTAGCTGCACCCTGCAACCTCTTCCTGGGAACCCTGGCTTTTCTGGGTGTCTGGCAGTCTGCCTCTCATTCCTCTAAACTGCTAGGTAGAAAAGACTTCAGGAATCACACCACAGCTCCCCCGCCCCAGTTTCCAGAGTCTCCGCCAACCCAAGAGTGCTGGCTGATGCTGACATGCACCCCACTCCGAGGCCCCAGTCTTCCTCTTCATCATCGCCTGAGGTTTGGACAGCTTGTCCTCCTTCACCAGGGTCTTTGGCAGACTAACACCCTGTCTCTCACGTAGGCCCACATCCCAAGGCAAGGGCCCCCGGCAGCCGTTCCAAGATCCACTGCGTCTTTGGATGTCCACTGCCCATTCATCACTAGCAGGCGTCACGGCCCATGTGAGCCCATATCCCTTCTGGTCCCAGTCTCTATTCATGCATGGCGCCAGGCTGACGGCTTCACTTTCTGAGCACCAGAGTTCCTGCTGTGGATATCTGAAGACCCCCCACAATCTAGCAGCATGTGGGAGATATGAACCCCACCGATGTAAGAATCTGGGTGTCCACAGGCCTGTGCCTGACACATACCAGTGTGTAGGTGAAATGACGTTGTGTCTGGAATTGGAGCACTGTCCCTTGTAACCCCTATCTGAGTGCCTGAATCAAGTATACCTGTGGAGCTCAGTGCTGAGGTCCACTGTTCCCTATTCCACTTGGGTCTCTGGGTGGCATGTGTTCACAACTACCTAGACCTCACATAGGCCCACATCCCAGGTTGGGGCTCCCGGGTGGCCAGTTCCAAGCTCCGGTGCATCTTTGGACGTCCTAACCCATTCAGGGGTGTCTGGGCCCAGTGAACCCATTCATCCCTGTCTCAGGGCCTCTGTGCTCTATTCATGCACAGCTCCGGGCAGCCTGCACCCCGTCCACCCCCATCTCACAGACAGTCTGTGCATTGTCGCCCCTCTTCCAGGAACAGCTGCCGGGCAGCCAGCAGGCACATTCCGGGGTTTGGCCTGAAGCCAATGCAAACCCTAGCTTTGCTGGCGCTAGCAGCAAGCGGGGCGCGGGCTAACCAAGGAGAGGAGGGCAGGCATGGAGGGAGAATTGAGACCCTCAGTTTGGGGGCATGTGATCAAAGGCTTCCCTAGACACACACTGTCCTCCACCCAAGGGAACATTGGGAAGCCAAAGCCAGCCTGGGACAGAGGCCTGTCCTGAACTGGCTGCCAGCAGGAGCAGCTGTATGCACAGTGTGGGAGGAAGAGCCCTCCACCACAGCCGCTATTTCCTGACCAGGCTCCCTCAGCTGCCCACCCACAGACATCCCACTGGCAGACTCATCAGCATCAGCCTGGGCGAGGTCCCAGGCTGGGGGGTTGGGGAGATGGGCAGAGGTGAACATGGGGTCTCATCTCTGTTGCTGTGGACCCTAGCCCCTCACCAACCCTAATGGGGACCCCCCCAGTGCTGAGAGGACCACTGGAAAGTGGATATCTGGTTCCTGGGCCCACTCAGGCTCTCTACAAGATGGCCACTGGCTCATCTTGTCTCCAGGCCAGTGGAAGTCAGAGAAGTGATTTCTTGGGGTCGCATGCAAGTTACCTGGTGGTCTAGAAGCCTGTGTGAGTGAAGGCCTGGCCTAGTTTCTAGGGTCCTTGATAGACAAACTGGTCACAGCCCCCCAAGTATGTGTAAGTCATCCACGTTCTCTGAGTATTGTGGGCCGTCTGTGTTTGCTGGGTATAAATGACCATTCATGTTCTCTGAGTGTGAAAGCACGTGTCTGGCTATCTGGATAACTAACTGGTTGGTGTCTCTGAGTCAGGGAGGCTATTAGGGCTAGAGCTTTGGGCTCTTCCTTTCAGGCCCTCAGTCCAGAGCATCTTGCCTTCCTGCTCTGCCTCACTGGCCTGGCTTGCTCTCTGCAGCTCTGGACAGCCTGTGTTCTGGTCCTGGTGTAGGGTACCCTCCTTCCCATTCTGCCGGTTATTCAGGATCTTGGCTCCCTCCTGTCCACTGCTGTTCCATTGTCCCAAGGTAGCCCCTCATCACAGAGAGCTGGCCCCTGAGCCTACCTGGTTTTTGTCAAGATAGACATGAAATGCCTTCAAACAAGCCACATTCTTTTAATGGTGGCTAAGGTTTTCCTAAACTTGTCTGACGGGGTTTTGACAGACAAAGTATTGTGAGAACTGCTTCAGCTATGTGGGATCCCTACTCTGTGGGGTCCCTGTTATACAGAGATCCTGTCCTGGGGGACTCTGCTGTGTGGGGGCCCTGCCGTGCAGAGACTCTGTTGTGTGGGTACTCTGCTGTTCAGGGATTCTCTTCTGGCGGGGGGCGGGCTTTGTATAGGGACCTTGCTTCAGGAGGACCCTGCTGTGTGTGGGTACCCTGTCTGGGGGGATCCTGGAGTGCAGAGACCCTGCTTTGCGGGGATTCCTGTGTAGGTCCCTATTCTGGTAAAACCATGCTATATAGGACCCCTGCTTTAAGAGGACCTGGTGTATAGGACGCCTGATGCGCGGGGACCCTGTTGTGTGGGTATCCTGCTCTAGGGGATCCTCCTGTGCAGGGACTCTTTTCTAAGGGGACCCTTGTGTGTGCAAATCCTGCTTTGCAGGGTACTACAGTATAGAGACTCCTGGAGAGAGTTACAGTGATTTCCTAGGACCCAAGGCAGTGAACTCCAAGTTCAGAAAAAGAAAGGGACCCAGGTAACCATAGCCCACAGCCTTTCTTTGTGAACATAGAAGATCTCCCTAAACCCAGGGGTGCCTGGCTCACTGATGTCGGAGCCTGGAGGTTAGTTGGAAATCCTCGCTATTGGTGTAGAGTCTACAGATGAGTGAGTGCTGGTCCTTGAGCTGGTGTGAGGATGGTTCAGAATCTGGCCTTCAGGGCTCATCTCAGCCCTCTGGGGTCAACCCAAGGTCAGTTACTGGTCCTAGAAGTAACAATGATCCAATGTGCACCCAGAGGTCAGGTATGGCAGGCGCCAGGCTGACTCGGGCGCCAGGCAAGCCTGTACCAGCTGGCCTCCCAGCTCCCCTGCTGTCTGCAGGCAGCTCAGCCTGACCTCCTGCTCCCACCCGACCCCTGCTCTCGGCTGGGCCTCTCAGCCTAGCTCCTCTTTGGCTGCGCTGCCCAGACCAGAAGGCTGGCAGGCGTTTGGGCGCCCCCTTCCGTACACATGCCTTTTGCAGGGTCCCAGCAAGCACGGAAATCTGACCCTCCTCCTCACAGAGGGGCTGTCCTAAGCCCCTGGCAGTTCAGATCTCTGGCTTTCTGAGCAAAAATCTGTGGGAGGGGGGAGTTTAAGCTATGCCTTCCCCCCAGACCCTCCCAAACAAACTCCAAGTAAGCAGGGAAATTGCTAAGGACCCCAGGACTTCGGCTCTCTTTCGAGAGAATTTAGCAACCCAGTTGAATCTTTCCCAGTCTTCAACCCAGGGTCAGGCCAAGGCCAAGGCCTCAGTGTTTAGGTATCAGAAACCCCTGCTGAGAAGGAATGAGAAACATCCCAGAGCAAGATACCATTACATATTCCAGAGCAGACAAGCAGGTGTGTTGGATCAGAAGAGAGGACCACCTAGTATCATGAATGAAGAGGGCGTCAACCCCTCAGGTGAAGGGAGATGAGACCCTCTGAAGTGACAGCCCTGCCATCAAGGAGAGTAGTACCATCCTGCCTGCTGTTGGAGGGCTGGAGCTCACAGAGCAGTAGAGGAAGTTGTCAGAAACAGCTGGAAACATGTGGCTCAGGGCTCAGGAGGAGAGGTGACCAGGCAGGTACTGGCTGGCAAAGAGACTTCACTGACCCAGATCAAGGAAGGTAAAGAGCGCAGGCACTCAGCCCCTAGGGATCCAGGCAAGGGGGCAGCCTTGATCACATGATGGGGCATCTGCTATCTGGCACCTCCAGGAAGTGCAGCCTGCTCCCACACCCTGCGTGGAGTATTCGCATAGTCACATTTGAGGTTGCATGCGCATGCAAAAGTTGCACAGATATGCAAATGCACACGTGCACACATGCATGGAAACACACTGTCTAAAAGGTAAGAGGCTGTCTTGACCTCCAGGTGGCAAAGCAGTAGTGAGGCTTTTTGACTCTAACCTCAGCAGTGGTTTGTCAAGGCCATGGGCCTGCCACAGCAAAAACCGTATCTTGGTTTCACAGCACACCAGCTTTCCTGTAACTAGCCTCACCTGGCGGGCTTCTTAACTGGCATATGCATCCTGGAGGCCCTGGCAGCTGAGGATTGTGGCCTTGCACAGGCTAGATTGCCAGCCTCCTCAAGTCGTGCTTGACCAGAGTCCATGCTTTCCCCAGCCCTGCTTCACTCCTAACCACAGCCCTAGCCTTTACTTCAGACAAGACACATGGGTCTGACAGTGGCCAGAACCTGATCCAGAACCAGACACAGCCTTGGGCAGGATGGGGAAGAGGTCCACTCTCCTCTAGCACACTCTAAATGCCCTCTCCTGCCTTTCTTGCCCCTGCCCATCATAATGTGTCCAAACCATGTGTGGAGGGTAAGAGCTTCCTGTGCCCACCTCTTCTGGGACCAAAGTGCCCTATGTCTCTAGCCCTGATGCCTCTGCAGGAGCAGGCTCTGCATGGAGTGAGGAATAGAGAGCCTGACGTATACTGCCTCTCCTATTTACCCTGCCTGCCTGCGCTGGGCCTCTGTCAGCCTCCCTCTCCTCATGTGCCCTCCCTGGAAGGCCTGCTGAGGTCCTCAAGCTTTGGAAACAACCTCAAGGGGTGAACAGGTCTACCTGATGCTCCAGTCCATCCTCAGGAGAGTGCTCAGGGATGTGTATGGCAATCAGTGAGGTTAGCCTTGGGCCTGTGACTCCTAGCTAGGCAGGGCCTCAGGGTCCGTTTATCTCCAGTTACTGAGCTGGTATCTGGGTCATAGAAGTATTTAGGCCGGTGTCTGGTCCTGGGGATTTATAACTAGGGGCCTCCTCTCCTTGGCTTTGCTTGCTAGCCTCTGAGTGTCTGTAGACACCTGGTCAACCTCCTTGTACCTGTGGTTGAATCTGGGTTTCTGGGTCATCCCAGACCCAGAGTATGGTTGTGCACCCATGTGATCCTGCATCCTTGTGAGCCTCAGCACAGTGCCAGGAACGACTTGGTATGGTCCCCACCTAAGAGCCAGCCATGTAACTCTGAACAAGGCTAGGGACTATTGACTTTTCTCCTCTGTAGACAGGAGCAGTATCATGCCCTGTCTCTGAGGGCTGCTGTGACCACTCAATGAGCGGCACATGGTGGGAATGGCAGCGGAACATTAGCATTGCTCCCACTGCCCATGAGAACACTTCACTCTGCGGGCTGCTGTAGTGTCTACATGGCCTGCCATTTCTTCCCCAGGCTTTACCTGCTGAAACTCACTCCCTCATTCCCTCCCCTCCCATCCATGCACCCACCCATTGTCTATCTATCCATCCCCATATCCACTCACCCACCTATTTACCCACCATCCATCCATACACCTATGCATTCACTCATCCATCCATCCAAGCATCCATCTACCTACACACACATTCACACATCTATGTATACAGATGCACATTGTACATCCATCCACCTGTCCATCCACCTCTCCATTTACCCATTCCTTCATTCATCTCACTACCCATCCACCACCTTTTTTCCCTTTTTCCTTCCCATTTTCTTCCCTCCTTCCTTGTCTCCTTCCCACATTTGACTCCATGTCAGCCTGGTTCACTGGCCCATATCCCTTGATGAGAGAAGTTGTTGGAGTCATTAGGCCCCAAAGACCAAGCAGGGTGGTTTGGCTGAGGCCAGTTTGTTAGGAGCGTGGACTCTTCTGCACAGGGCCTGCTGGTCTGAGGAGTCATCACCTATGGAATTAACCTTGGGGGTCAGGCACATGGGGCAGAGCAAGCTGTGGGGGTTACAGACCCTAAACCTGGAATGGCTGTCCATGGTGAGCTCCCTGCCTCAAGATGGATGTGAAAGTCTCCATGGGAGGTCTGAACACAATCTGACCTCACATGCCATTTTCGTTCTGGTCAGGGGGAATGGTGCGAGCCCTCCAAGCCCCCACCAAGGAGTCACCCCAGAGGCCAGAAGCTCTCCTGTGATCCCCCTCAGAAGGCGGAGGACTGCACCAGGAGTCTTGGGACCCCTCTCCTCCATGCAGCCAAGAGTATTCTCAGATGTCTGTACTGTAAGTTATTGGAAATAGATTCCCCTGGTGGTGAAGGCTGCTGGGAGGGAGAAGTCCTGACACCAGCCATGGCGGCTCTTCAGTGTGGTCTCACTGCGCCACACTCACATAAACTATTTCTAGAACTTTGAAGTCTAAATGACAAAAGCCCAGGAAAGTCCCTGCCCCCTGCTCTTCTCCTGCCCATTAGGCAGTCATTTCTTTTTACTTACTTATTATTTATTTATTTTGGCGTGTCTGAAGGATGTGCACACACGAGGACATGCATGTGTGAAGGCCAGATGATCTCAGGTGACATTTCCTCAGGTACCATCCGCCCTTTTATTTTTGAGACAGGGTAGATATGGGTGTATATTAGAGTGTATGCATATGTGGGTGCATATGTGTGTTAGTGTGGGGGGTGCATTTGTGCAGATGCATTTGCAAATGCAGGTATATATGTGTGGGTTTCATGTGTATATGGGCACATGTGTGTACATGTGTGTCTAGATCCAAGAGGGGAATATGTATTTGTGGTGTATGTATGTTACAGTACCTATGTGTACATAGGTACGTGTGTGTTTGTCTGCATGTGTGTATGTGGGCTGATGTGTGCAGGTACATGTATGTTTGTAAGTACCTATGTGTGTATGAGTGCATCTGTGTGTAAAATGTGTGTATGCAAGTGCATGTATGTGTGCAGGGGCATGTGTGTACAAGTAATGAAAGCATATGTGTGTACTCAGGAACATACAAACAAATGAATATAATTAAAAAGAGAGAGAGAGAAGAATCAAAGAGACAAACTGCTGTTGTCTCCTGAGCAAAGCTCAGGCTCTACAGGACCCAGGCTTGCAGCCTGCTGACCAGCGCTGAGCTCCTGGCCACAGTCACCTGCAGAGGGCGAAGGTGGGCTGGAGGCTGCAGGCATTTGACGAAAGAGCGTATATCACATCGACATCCTGCTATTAAGGAAACAGGAATACTGGGGTCTGGCTCCAACATAGGGTGAGAAGTCAGTTGTGACTGAATGAGCACATTCAGCAGCACTTGGTGTAGTGTACATTTCCTTCTACATCATCACAGCTCAATAAAGTGGGGGAAATTCCGTAAGCAGTGAAGAAGGCCATGCACGGGAGTGTGGTGCAGGGCTCTGCTACACGGCAAAAGGCAGGTCACTAAATCATAAAAGGGCACGTGACCCAAGCTGGCATTTCACAGCACAGTGCACCCAAGTGTTTGGCAGGGTTGGGTGGCATTTCTAGGGATGGAACCCAAGGACTCGCGTGTGCTGAGAAAGTGCTCTAACCCTGAGGTATTCCCTGGGCCTCTTTTTATTTTTTACATTGAGACAGGGTCTCTCTAAGTTGCCTGAGCTGGCCTTGAACTTGAGATTCCCCTACATCAGCCTTCCATGTAGCTGGGATGAGAATTTGAGTCACCAGGCCTGGCTGCTCCTCGAAATTGTAATAAGCATATGGCAAGGTGCTCATTTGAGGGAAAAGGGAAATTCAATTCACAGCAAGAGTAAGCAAGTAGCTGATCAGCAGTGACTCGAAAGCCCATTTGCCAGGCATGGGTAGGCTGTGATCTGGTCAGAAGTGGCCCGGCTCCTCGGGCATGGGAAGGCTGTGTCACTGCTGAGATGCACATGTGGCCAGTGCACTGACTCGTACCACACACTTTGGAGACAGTGCAGAGGTGTGGAAATTATCATTCATATCTTTAAAGTGTTTGCATGGATGTATGCTTTGCTATAACTAATGCACATGCTATGAGCATTGTTCTGAATATCTCAACATAATAAAAAAATGAATAAAAGTTTATTTCTTTTTTGTTTGTTTTTGGGGGAAGGGGTTTTGTTTGTTTGTTTGTTTGTTTGTTTGTTTGTTTGTGACAGGGTTTCTCTGTGTAACAGCCCTGGCTGTTCTGGAACTGGATTTGTAGACCAGACTGTTCACAGAGATCCTCCTGACTCTGCTTCCTGAGTGCCAGGATTAAAAGCATGTGCCATCATGCCTGGCTGTGCATATTTATTTCTTAAATTTTTTTGAAAGCCAAAAATGTTTAGAAATATGGACTGCTTCATGAATTTGTGTGTCATCCTTGCACAGGGGCCATGCTAACCTTCTCTGTAGAGTTAGAATTTTAGTATATGCTAAAGCAAGCACATTAAATTCTTAAGATGCTAAAGATGTTCGTTATTCCACCTGGGCTTGTGGAGCTGTGCACATGAATGAACACACACAGGGCCAAGAGCAAGACACCCTCCAGGAGCAGGAAGCCTAGGGTGAACCCAGCCAACTCTCAGAGCATCACAATGCCCAGGGCTAGCATTAATTGCATTTGGGTGCATATGTACATGTATACATGTGTGTATGCATACAGAAATTTATGTAAGTGGTATATATGTATGTAAGTGCATGAGTTCATATGTGTATAGTGTGTATATGTGGTATTAGTAAACATGTATGCATGAGCTTGTGTGTTGTGTATGTGTCTGGGAGTTCATATGTGTACATGAGCTCTTTTGTATGTGTGGTGTTTATGTGTATGTGAATGCATATGTGAGCATGAGCTCTTGTGTGTATGTATGACGTGTGTGCATGTATGTGTGAGTACATGTATGTGTTGTGTATGTGAATGAGTACATGTGTGTGCATGTATTTATGTTTGTGTATTCATGTGTGTGTGCATGTTTCAACATGAGCCTCCTTGTCACTTCTAACATCGTGAAGTGCCAAGTGTGGTCCTATGTAAATGTCCACTATACTTTACAGGAAACTATTAGCTTGTTCTCATAGAGTCAGGCCCTTGTGGGTTCCCACAAGCCCAGGGTGAGGCCTCAGTTCCACATCCTCCCCAGCTCTTGGAACTGCCTGTTTCCTAACTGTCAGTCATTCTGAGTGGCAGGAGGTGAGAACTCGTGGTTTCTATTTTAATTTCCACAATTCTCAGTGTGTTGAGTATTTGTTGCAGTTTGGTTGTGAAATATCCCTCACATGCTCAATTGTTAGAACATTTGGTCTAGTGGTGGTGTTGTCTCGGAGGCTAGGGAATTTCTGGGAGGTAGGACTTAATTAGAAGCTGATCACTGGGATAGGGAGCTGTTGTGTGATTTTTCCAGGGGAGTTATGAACAAATGTCTGTTCATCCTAAGTACATCACAAACAACAGACCAAAAATCTGTCCAGCTTAGTGAGCCAGTGGGATTGTGGTGCAACTGACAGTAGTTATGGTGAGTGTGTACTTAAAGGAGCACGGATAACTTACAGTCAGCTGCAGCACTGAAGAGCCCACCCCAGCATCAGTGACAACTTGCTAAGGCTACATCCCTGGAGCTCCCTGCACAACATGTAGGCAGTTCCACTGAAGAGTCTCCTCTCTAGCTGTCATTGCTGCTCATATAATCTCTGGAGGGACCTTCCGAGTCTTACATTTCATGATCTTCCAAATCTTGTAACTTTCCTTTACATCTTTGATCTTAAGCAGACTCTCAAGGAGGGAATGCTTCAGTTAGGAAGAAGTAGCTGCACAAAAGGAACCTTGAGGGTTAGAGCCAGTCTAGGATTTCTGGCAGCTTCGTTTTGCTCCTGGTTGGCTAAGATGTGAACAAGCTGCACACTCCACAATAACCATGGCTTCCCCCACCATGATAGACTGAACTACCTCGGTCTCTGAGCCAAAATAACCCGGCCTTGTTAACACTGCTCATTCTTTGGTATTTGGTCACAGCATCAAGAAAAGCAACTGCTGAAGTGTTTCTGCCTCTGTGTGTGTGTGTGTGCGTGCTACTACAGTGTCTCTCTGTCTGTAGTGTGTGTGTGTGTGAGTGAGTGTGTGCGTGCTGCTACAGTGTCTCTCTGTCTGTAGTGTGTGTGTGTGTGTGTTTGCTGCTACAGTGTCTCTCTGTCTGTGTGTGTGTGTGTGTGCTGCTACAGTGTCTCTTTGTCTGTAGTGTGTGTGTGTGTGTGCTGCTACAGTGTCTCTGCCTGTAGTGTGTGTATGTTACAGTGTCTCTCTGTCTGTAATGTGTGTGTGTGTGCTGCTACAGTGTCTCTCTGTCTGTAGTGTGTGTGTGTGCTGCTACAGTGTCTGTCTGAGTGTGTGTGTGTGTGTGTGTGTGCTGCTACAGTGTCTCTCTGTCTGTAGTGTGTATGTGTGTGTGTGTGTGTGTGCTGCTACAGTGTCTCTCTGTCTGTAGTGTGTGTGTGTATGTGTGTGTGTGGTGTGTGTGTGTGTGTGTGCTACAGTGTCTCTTTGCCTGTTGTGTGTGTGTGTGTGGTGTGTGTGTGTGTGTGTGCTACAGTGTCTCTTTGCCTGTTGTGTGTGTGTGTGTGGTGTGTGTGTGTGTGTGCTACAGTGTCTCTTTGCCTGTTGTGTGTGTGTGTGTGTGTGTGTGTGTGTGTGTGTGTGCGCGCGTGCTGCTACAGTGTCTCTGCCTGTACTGTCTGTGCCGCTGGTAAACTTGCTTAAACATTACGCCTGATGTTTTGAGTTCTTTGCTCCCTTCTCAGATTTTGAGAGCCCACGACTTAGTCTTGTCACAAATCCATCACTGGATAAGTGACTCGCAAGTATTTCCTCTAAGCTGTTGGATTGTCTGTTGCTATTTCTTTTCTTTTTTTTTCATCAAAAGGAATTTTTCATTTTAAGTTTTGTTTATTTATTTATTTTGCAGAGGTATGAACTCCTGCTATGGCACACATGTGGAGGTCAGAGGACAACCTATAGGAATCAGTTCTCTCCTTGCATGGTGTGGTCCTGGGGAGTGAACTCAGATCATCTGGCTTAGTGGTGAGTTTTCCTGCTGAGTCATCTTGCTGGTACAAAAGGGATGTTTTATTACGGTACACAATAGCCTAATGTTAATTGTCTTTAGAAAGATAATGCAAAAACAAAAGGAGGAATAATAAACAAAGAATTACATTTTAGAAGAAAATAGTTGCTTGCTCAAGACTTTGTTTTAAAAGGGGAAATTTAAAGGTGTGTCAAGCATTTTAAACCAAAATAAATTTTGTTTTTATTTTTAACATGTTGAAAGAAGAATAACACACTCCCTGGGTGAATCAGTGTCCTTAAGTGAGCCATCTGGGCCACAGACAGCACACTGAGAAACACTGATCTAAGCCACTCCCCAACAACTCTTCATTAACACACTTGACTGTTGTGTGCTTCAATTATTTCCTCCTCCTTGCTCTCTTCTCTTCTTCCTCCTCTTCTTACTAGTCTTCCTCATTCCCCATCCCCCATCCTCACCGGGTCCTGCCTGAGTTGGTCCTGGAAACCAGACTAGGACAGCAGGGAAAGGA